TAGAGTTATTGTTAGTGCACAAATAGCTTAAGACAGATCATAAAGTCCCTAGTGATCAAGGAGCTGTATAATGCTGAGTAGCTCCAGCAGCGACAGCAAAAATTTTCATAAGCCAGATGCTTAGCTTCCAGTTTAACCCCACCAACATACCCCCACCAAGTGAGGATTCCCCCCACCAATTACTTTTCAAAAAAGTCTATTGTGTTTCTGACCCTCATAGAAATTCTGCTTTAAGGTATTTCCCCAGCTTTATTCTTCCTATAACTGCATATAACTCAAAATGATGAAGACACATGGCAAAAGAGAGAAGCCTGCACTATTTTTTTTTTTTTACCAGTCATAGAAAATTCAGATGCAGACTTTTAAAACAGGAGACACTAAAAACTTCTTGGCCAAAAGAGGAGATAAATAAAGCAATTTTTAAATTCCTAATGAGCAAGATAACGTTATTTCATAAACTAGTATTTTAAATATAACATGATTCAAATTATCATGACTGAGGGTACCAGAAAATGACAAAATGTTTACTATTTTTTTTAATTTTTTGATTTCCTTAACCCCTTCAAAAAACTCATTTTAGATTCAGTATTACAGTATTAGTTAAGCTGTTAATTTTTTTTTTAATTTCTTCCACATTGCTCCATGTTCATTATTATTATATGGGAGCATTGCATTTGTAGAACTTTTCTCTCATAGACATGAGGACATTAAATCTCAGAAAGATTTTGTGTTGAGCATATCATCTGCATACATACAAGACTGAGAAGGAACTAACCATCCAGGAGAGTGACCATGTCAGTGGCCCCTCAAATATGTGGTTTTGGATATTTGGCTCAATGAAAGTCAGCTATCTGAAGAAGGCCCCTGCCCTCTGCAGTGAACATAGTTCATGACTGCATGAAGGGAATTCAAGACTCTAGAACACATGTGTCAAACACAAGGCTCGCGGGCCAAATCCGTCCCGCCAGGCCTTGCAATGTGGCCCGCACCGCGCTGTCATCACTGCACTCCGCTGCGTTTCCATCACAATGACAGTTTATGACTGTTCAGTAAACCATTCGGCCCTCGATTTAGGTTGGATTTTAGATTTTGGCCCCTTCTCTGATTGAGTTCGACACCCCTACTCTAGAATATGGAGGTAATGGCTCTGAACTACTGAGAGCCAGTCTGCCACACTAATGCATGTAGGTGTATTAGTTTTCTAGGCTGTCATAACAATTTACTACAAACCAGGTGGCTTATTAATAACAGAAATTATTTTTCTTCCAGGTGTAGAGGTGAGAAGTTAAATCAAAGGCCATATTCTCACTGAAAAGTATAAGGGACAATGCTTCCTTGCTTCTTCTAGCTTCTGAAGGCTGCTGGCCATCACTGGCATTCCTGGCTTTGTGGATACAATACTGCAGTCTCTTTCTCTCTTACATGACCTTTCTTCTACATATTTGTGTCTCTGTCTGTCTGCAAATTTCCTCTTCATATAAGGACACTAGTCATATTGCATTGAGGGCTAACCCTAACACTGACTCTATGACCTCCTCTTAACTTGATTTCATCTGCAAAGACTGGCCAAGTAAGGTAACATTCAAGGGTTCCAGGTAGACATGTATTTGGGGGAGAATACGATATAACCCAATACACTAAGATTCTAAGTTTCATTTCAGGTAACATATATCTAATAGGCTTCTCAAATTTAACTTGTCTGAATCTGAACTCCTGATCTCCTGTTCTACAATGCGTGTTCCAGTGTCTTTTCCATCTCAGTTCAATAACTGGATGCTTCCAGGTGCTCAGACCTAGAAATAAAGAATTATCCCTCTTAACACCCTTCTTTCACAGCCCACATCCAATGCATCAGGTGTGTCTCCTTCTCCATTTCAAATTATATTTAGAATCTGGCCATTTTTCAGGCCCTAGTATTAGCAAACAATCTCTCACATGTATTATTTCAATAGCCTTCCAACTGGTGTCTCACTTCTATCTTTCTTTACCTGCAGTCTAATGTTAAGTTTAAGACACCAGAGGACCGAAACCAGTTTGGCTCAGTGAACAGAGCATCGGCCTGCAGACTGAAAGGTCCCAGGTTTGATTCCGGTCAAGGGTATGTACCTTGGTTGCAGGCACATCCCCAGTAGGGGGTGTGCAAGAGGCAGCTGATCGATGACTCTCTCTAATCGATGCTTCTAACTCTCTATCATTCTCTCTTCCTCTCTGTGAAAAATCAATAAAATATATTTAAAAAAAAAGATACCAGAGGAAGTGTTCCTTTTGAAACCTAGGTCAAATTATATCACCCCTCTGCTAAAATGCCTCCAGTGGCTTCTCATTTCATTCAGAGGAAAAGCCAGATTCTTAAATGATCTAATGATCTAATGGAACCCTGGCCTTCACTCAAACTGCTCCTTGCAATTTGTTAAACATATCAGTTATGCTACCACCTTAGGGTCTTGCCTGTCTATGTCATCTATCCAAAAATAACACAGAAGTTACTGAGTTTCTACCTTGCTAGAGAAGTCAAAGTAATTTGGACAAATCTTATTCAAAATTATTTAAAATAAATTTATGTGTCATTTCTAGTTCTTTGAGCTAAAGAAAAGAAAATTCATATAATCTACATTAAATAATTATCTCCTTTTAATTATTTGAATGTTTATAATAATAATAACATGGTACTTTCAACATATTCTCATGCATGTACCAGACACCTTATCAAAGTGACTTTTACATTGTAATGTAATCTATAAACTTTCAGTGAGCCTTAGATCCATTAGGATATTGAAAAGATGACCTTTGAGCTATGGTAAGGAATAAAACTATAATTACATGATGGATAGGAAAATCGTCTTCCTTGTCTTTCCCTAATACAGTATGTAAATCTGGGTGCCTAATACTGGTTCCATAGACCCATCTGTAGCTTACAGGGAAAGAGTGGATTTGTAAGAAATCCTGAGGCTTCTCGCAACCTTTTTTCCAATCAGCACCCTTGGATCCATCATCTGGATTTATTTCCTTACAAAAGGGAATTTAATAAGAAAAGATTTTTCATAAACTAACAGATTTATCCAAGGAAATACTAGACAACTCAGACAACTAGTTAGCTTTAGACTCAAAAGAATAATAGACATCGTTTATCTATGAAAACAAACAAAAAAAACAAACAGGTGCTAACAAAAGACACAAGGATTTAGAGGAAATTAAAAAACAAAAGTCGGAGATGAAAACCAAGCAGGCAGAGCTCAGGAAGAATAAGAACAAGAACAATAAAACAGAATAGAGAGGAAAGAAAGACACATAAGAAAGAACAATAAGACATGACTGCAACAAAAAAATGCTGTCAGAAACGTTGCAAATTGGTTTGAGAAAATTGCACAAAACCAAACAATAAGGAAATACCATTTCAGAGTGATTACAGAAAATATACTCAGTGTGGAAGACAGAAAAAGAAAATTAAATACATGTAAAAAAGTGAAGTTCCTGAAGATGAGAATAGAACACATGGAACATAAAAGTAGGAAAAAAAATTATCTTGAAATTTCAGAAAAAAGCTTGTATTTGCAGATAAAAAAAAGTACACCTGTCTCTGTCTCTAAATTATTGACATTAGAACATATTGGTGATATAATTGAACCACAAGAATAAAGACAAAAATAGGGCTTCTATTTTCAGTAATGGGATTCAATTTGTTCAGATCAATACTTTTTGCTAAAAATGACAAAAATCACTGCATAATATATATAAAAAATCTTCAAAGTATTGGATAGCTGGAAAGATAGCAAGGAGCTAAAATGACAAGCCTTTGTGGGAATGTAGAACTATAAGTGATGCATTGCACTGGCATAAAGGACTGTGAGCCTAGGGCATTTGTTGCTGCTGGCAAACAAGGGTCTTTTGTGGCAAGCAGGGTCCAACCTACATTGAAACTTTAACATCTCCACCTTAACCTGTGGAGGAGAGGGAAGTGAACAGGAGGTAACTCTGTCCTCAGGAGACTCAGGGGAAGTTGCCTTGATACTGAACAGACAAATGTGATGCAAAATAAAATTAAAAATAACACTGAGGAGTTGTGGTTATTGCTTTGCTGTTGGATTTGTAATTTGGATTCATGTTGTCTCATAATTCAAATTACAAGTCCAAAGACAATTGTTTAAGTTTATGAATACATATTTTGTACATTTAGTGATCCCCATTTGAACTTAATGATTTATGGTAATTATCTGATAAGAGTGGGAATGGGAATAAGTCAGCAGAATGAGAAAAGTTCTTCTTAGAGCTTTTGTATTTTTAAAGTTATTTTTCTATCTTATGCATTATTATTTATATAGCAATTTAAAATATAATGTTAATTTATGGAAGTGTCCAGCCAGTAGTTTTTTGTTTTGTTTTATTGTGTGTGTGTTTTATTTTTCCACACACCGTGTCTGGGTGCTTTGTTTGGGGAGACTCTTGAACCTCAGAGCACCCTCTAGCATTGGTGATGTCAAGATGAAATGTATCAATTCTGGAATCAGGCAGATATTATTCCAAATTTAACATGTATTATTTACACTTGCCTAATTTGGAATCCTACTTGGTATTAATGTGGGACTTACATATGCCTATAATTATGGCACTTAGCACAGTGACTGGTGCTGAATATAAGTAACAACAACAAAGCATTGGGCCATTTCTACTTTGAAAGGCTGACCCCTAGTCAAGCACCCACTCCTCCTGAAAGGCAGCATAAAAACTTAGGAAGAGTATTGAAGTTGTTTCCACCACATTTTATCTATAAAAACACCAGCATAATAAAAACAATGTAGAGGCTTTTGAATTTTGTTATGAGGAGCTATGACCTATGACGAAATTCATTACAATTAATCTATCTTCCTTAACACCTGCAATTACCTACTAAATTGAGATGTTTCTTTAGTTACACTATGTCCCTTATCTTTTTTTCATTCCAGTGACACTTCTGAGGCCCATGGGATGAAAGGAGAGCATGCTTAGGTTGGTGGAAGAACCTTGAGTGAGAGTTGGTTGGCTGTATTTTGAGATCCAGCCATGCTCACAATGAACTGTGAAGCTTGTGGCAAATATTCTAACCCTTTCTCTATATAGCAAGGGCAGTTACTGAATCTTGGTTTACACACTACCCTCAAATGAGTTCACTAAAGCTTTACAGTATGAGGAAATACATGTATAAAGTATCACGTATCATGTCCATAACTTCTGGGTTAAAACAACTGGGCCTTTTGGTGGCTTATTTCTTTTGTACTGACAACATTTAGTATATTATGAATCATCTCTTTTTTGTGTGTATGGATGCTTTCTGTTAATATTAATTGAGACTGTAAAAATGACAGTTTTCCCCCTATTCATGTTGAGCACATAGTAGATGTTGAATAAAAATAATGTTAACCAATTAATTAATTAAAGACAGAACTCTGAAGTTGGTAAGGGGAACAGAAACTATAACTACAGGTGTTGTTTTTTTCTTGTTTTTGATTTTTTTGCAAGATAGGAAAAGGACAATAAACTATAAGAAGATTGGGTTTAAAAAGAATATTCTGTTAACTAGCAAGCTTATAAGATCCATTGGATAGGTGTATGATAAATTTAAAATAAAATCTGAAGGAAGTTAATTTTGTGGAGAACCACTAACAACTTAAAAATATAGAACTCCCTGCTGCTCTGGTATACATTAAAAAAAACAAAACAATACATTTGTATTGTTTTTAAGAGAGAGAGGGATGGAGGGAGAAAGGGAGGGAGGAAGGGAGAGAGAGAGAGAGAGAGAGAGAGAGAGAGAGAGAGAGAGAGAGAGACAGAGACAGAGACAGAGAAAGGAGTGACATATGGATTAGCTACCTCCTGCATGCCCCAATACCAGGGATTGAGCCCCAAAACCCAGGAATGTGCCCTGGCTAAATCAAACCAGCAATCTTTCAGTGCCCTGGATGTCACCCAACCAACTGAGCACATTGGCCAGGGCTGGCATGCACAATTTTTATAATGTGACCGCTGTCTCCAGATGACCACCTCTTAGAACTTTACACTTTAGAGATATTTAACATTTTGAATTCTCCCAATATGATTAATGTCTTCTATCTTTGTGCTTTATGTAGACTCTTCAAATTCAAATGTGCATACTCTTTATCCAAAAATATTTGCATACTTATCAAAACCTAGATCAGTGCTCATTTCACCCATGAATCTTTCCCTCACACTGCTGACGGCCAGGATACTATCAACCCACCCTAGAAACCTCCAACCTCAGTCTTTAGACCCTCTAAGCTTAGTCCTGAAACCTTCTAATCTCAGTCCTGAGACCCTGCAACCTCATGCCTTGGAACCTATTCTTTTTATTGCACTGAGCCCTCTGTAGTATATGGGTATGTTGGATTCATGTACATGTATTTGCACATTGGTCTTTCTTCCTACCCTAAAATGGGCAAGAGACAGATTTATATTCATTGGTATAATTCCAAAACTAAAGCAAATATTTACTGAACAATATACTTAATGCATTTGTGAGTAAAAGGAGTGGGCTCCAACTCTACCCGTTTTGATGGTTTTATTAGAATAAATTTACTACTTAGCTCAGTAATTTTGTATGTTTATAGCAGCTTTACTGAGTTCTTATTTATATACTGGGATGTTCACCCATTTGAACTGAACAATTCAATGATTTTCAGCCTGTCTCTCTAGGTTTGCACTCCTCATAATTTTGGATAATTTTTTGGATATCTTGCATTTTGGACAACTAAATCATTTTAACTTAAAAATAAATAACAAATAAAGAGACAAAGAGGAGGGAGGAAGAGAATATGATATGATTATTTCAATTCCTTCAACAACAAATACTAGTTAAAGTGAAATATATGATATTAATCATTAGCTAAGGAAATAAACACTTTTAAGTCAGCTTTGTTATATATCTCATCTAGGAACAGTTAAGTTAATTTTCTTTAAACTTCATTTTTTACTACTTTCATTATAGCCCTTTTCACATGCTGCTTGATACATCATGTGTGTTTTGTAAATGCCTACGTAAAAAAAAAAGAAAGAATCATAAATTATATTTCTATATTTCTCTTCAGAACGTGTAGTATTTTTCACACAGTAGGTGCAATAAAAAACATCAAAATGAAATGCATAAATATGCATATTAGGAGTATATCAAACTGAGAAACAAGAGGAAAAAGGAGGAAATATGTATCACCACAGAAAATACATGACCAGAACCAAGATCACAGACCCAGTTTGTTTTTAAAAATATGACCCTCAGGAAATAGTTTATATGTCTTACTAATTTCATTTCTCCACTTCAAATTACCAAAGGGGGTCTGTCCTTTAGCGACTTATTACCACTCCAGAGGAACAAGGTGTGAGAATGTAGCCCTCTATTTCTAAAGATCAATTCACCCAGCATTACTTGATGAGAGGTTGACAAGCTTTAAATAGTTTCAGTCAACCTCTCATGCATTTCACAGTAGGACAGAAAGAGAGTAAGGTATTCAATTAAAATCCCAAAGATGTTTTACAAAATGATTATCCAAATAGAGGCAATAAAATGGCTTCAGGAAAATGCTCTATCAGCCCCCTAGCCCCAAGGAAAAAAATACTGAATAAGAAAGTTAAAACATTTGCATGATCATTTGATAGATGGTCAACTGGTTCTATGCTCTTGGAGTTTAGTCTAATTCCTTGATTAGTTGAATGTATATTAAACTGGATCTCTTTGTATGTTGGGTGTTGTCCATCAATAATTAACAGTTAATTGTATGTAAATGTCTATGTCCCTTAACTGGGCGATGTTTTATTTCTCATGCTTTCCATCTAGTGTTTATCCATCCATAATCCAAATTTTCTTGACACTGTGTATTTTTATTAAGTGCCTGCTTATCAATATGCAAGTCCCATGTCACAAGCATCTTAATAGTTTTTATTGCACCACTAACTTCATATCCATTGCATTACAAACTCCTTGCCATCATTGCTAGATACATTCTATTGATTGCAAGGTCATTTACCTTACAACTGCTTTGAAGTGACCCTTGCTGAAATGTCTTGTTCTATAAAAAAGCCAAGCACTCCCCTGCAAAACAGCAAGTAAGTAGGGGGCTGCACCATGACTCCTTGAAGCAATAATTGGTTGTTTTGCAAGTCGTTGGCCTGGTGCTTCCTAGTTTGTAATGCAGGAGTCTCTGTACAAAAGAATAACATATTCCATTTCTGTCCACAGAACTAATGCTTGATGCAAAAAAAAGATACAAATAAGATCAGCTCTTTATTGGTGATAATTATACCAACAATACTGAGCAAGATATGGAAGGGTTAGATAAAAGCAAACGAACTTACTTTTTAAATTGAGTTTACTACATGGAATCATATATCGAAGTACAGATCTTTTGGCTCTCCAATTAAAACCATTTTATTTTTTCCCAACAACTTAGGGATTTGTGTGTGTGTGTGAGTGTGTGTGTGTGTGTGTGTGTGTGTGTGTGTGTGTGAGTGTGTGTGTGTGTGTGTGTGTGTGTGTTATTTTGCATAAGTATTTTTACCGATGTTCATAAATTTGCACCTTTGTTCAAAAGTTGCAATGCCAATTATATATAATAAGCGTAATTAATTAATTAATGCATTCCACTGCAACTGCATTCAAGTCTAGTTTGCATTCAGAGACCCTGGAATGGCTAAGTATATGGGAAACTGTGGGCTGGTAAGCCAGCAAATATCCATCCCATGGCCCCCACAGCAAACTGAAAAGTGAGGTTGGGAATGTTTCCCAGAGAGACAAAAATATATTGGATCTGGGATGCCTAAGAAGCTCTGTTCCCATAATCCTGATTCAGTGATGAAACTTAAATAAAGCATCATCACCTGCATGTAACCATCCCTTTTGCAAGTAATCCTCAGGCTGATTTGGCCTACTAATCTGTGAGTATAATTTGCTTTTACCAGCACACCTCTCTGCAGAGGAGAGGTAGAAAAAAGAGAGCAGGGGATGGATCTCTCATTCTGAGTTAATTCAGAGAGCAACAGGAAAGCATGCTATTGTCTTTTCAAGCACATTTAAAGTTATCTGTCTGTAGTGTTAGAATCCCCAGGGCAGGGACAATGGGTCAGGTACAGAAATTCACTAGGGAAAAAAGCCATGGATGTTGATCAATGGGAAAACAAGAACCTCACCACTAGGGTAATCTTTTCCCCCTCGGGTATCATTGGCCAGAACCTCTGATCTTTTCCTCCCTAAAGATAACATCTAGGCCACAGTTGTGTTTCAGTTCCGGGCCCAGGAAAGCAGCAAAACCAGACAAATGGCACTGCCCTGGCTGCCTCAGGACCAGCTGCATTGACTAATAAGCCCCTGCACTGGCACTGATCAATCATTAGAGACCATGACCCTGAAAGAACACACTGGGGTAGCTGATAAATTTTCTATTAAGACCCTTACCTGATAGCTCCCTTAAGATTTCTACCTGCAAGATAAAAAATAAATACCCTCAGGAGAAAGGACCCAAGTGTGTACTCTGTACTCTCCCTCCAAGGATCATGCCCATGCCATTCCCCCACTGGCATGCATCCCCTACCCTCTAAGTGAGACTTGCAACCAGTGGAACAATGGGCAGTGGCAGCTCATCCTGGGCTTGGTCCCCTCTTCTCTGACTTCTCAGTGAGCCAGAGCAGCCCAACCTAGGCTTTCCTGTTGCTTCCTCTATTGCCTTTCTTGTTTCACTGTCCCAAGTATATTTTGACTTCCATCATTGATTGACTGAATGTCCCCTTGTCTTGGTGCTGTGTAGTCCTTCCCTTTGAATATTGCATCCTCATCCCTTTTTCCTAAATAAATTCAATGTTTCTTTCATCGCCAGCTGAAATGGCTACTTTAACCTTTCACACAGCCCTCAGGTTGTGCTTTTATGCTTTCCTAGAAAGTTAATGGCATCCAGGAATATGTTGCATGTTTGCTGTTATATAGGAAAGAAATCTTGTAGCTTGGGCTTAAAAACCATGTGCAGCTTGTCAGCTTGGG